TTTTAGTTGAATGCTTTGTAAATGCTTTATAAACGACGTATTAGATTCATTATTCCACATCACTGCCCAAAAACAATTCAGAGTAGCAAATAAGCATATAGATTGAATAAATGCTTTATAACAGTGTACAATGCTGAATAAAACGGGTTGTCAAATTATGTGCTCAGAAAACCTCATTGAGATCGATAGATGCGCCTTTATTTCGCTGATTGCTCTGATTTGATTAATATACTTATTAAAATCTATACAAACGATGACTGTCTTCCTGATTCAACACCAGAAGTTTGATTCAATAACATACTGAATAAGAGTAATTTGCACATACATTGACGCTTTAATCCGACTGTTTCAATTGACTTAATAACATGCTTTATTATACGTCTAATAATTGTTTTCTAGCTCCATTACTAGATTCCATTGCATTGCTTAACAATATTGCTGAATAAAGGTGAATACAGTCAGCATAATAGCTCTTATACCACTATGCGTCCATGTTTTAATTGCATGCTTTATAAATGCTTTACAAACGGCGTATTCATTCATTATTCCACAACAGTTCTTCAGGCTAACAACAAAACGAAATTGGTAGCATAGTGGTTACCGTTTCCGCTTTCCAAGTAGAAGATCGCGAGTTCAATCCCAGCCTCAACCCTTTTTTTTATTTATGTTCTACTCCTAATTAATTTAAATCGTAATCATAAATCGTATCACTCACGACAACCAATTCATAGATCTATAGAAAAGAATAGCATCCTTTCCATCGAAATTAGAGAGATGTAGAGGTAACGTTGGTCTAATGTTAAACAACTATGAATGAATTAATCATTCTCACATCTCCTTGAATTAGCTAGAGTTACGGCTGGAAGTGCTGATAGGTTTTCAGATTCAAGCTTTTATTGCTTATTTAGCTGCTCATATGATGTATTCTAGGATAGCTCAGATGGCAAGACAAGCGGCTGGTGATCGGAAGGTCATGGTTCGAATCCCATTTAACGACATGTGTGTGTATGTATGTATGTATGTTTTAAATTCGACAGAAATAATGACACAACAATCATTAACGAAAACAACCCTGCTCGTGCCGTTCTTATTTTAGGATTAATTATCCCGTAGTTGAATAATCGTTTAATAAATGTTTAATGATGTAATAATCAAACATTATTTCACATGAGAATCAAGCGTCTATATACACCTTTATACCATCGCTGTTTAAGGAAGTACAGAGGGTCTAATAAACGCTGAATAATCAAAAATTTGATCGAATAAAGCTCTGTTACAACTTTTGTAAGTCGAATAAAAGCTTCTCGATATACCTTATTCAACACCAAATATTTCGATGTTGTGGTTGAATAAATTCTCCAGATTTGTGTGAACAAAGCCTGAACAGAAGTTATTATTAAAAATAGTACAAGTATTATTAAGCATGAAGTGGAATAAAATCGTCAAGAAGTCGTTTCTTCAATAGGCAATTGTTTGTTGGGGAAAGCATAATGTTCACACTTGAAGGGTTCAGAGCGGCTGAGCTGTTCGGTGGTAGATTGACCTTCCTTTCAAAACCAATTTGGCTCTAGAACAATTTTAAACTTGTTTTGTATTATTCACATGTTGCAATTATTGAAAAAGCTATAAAGTAGCTTAATACAATTAATTAATGATTTGAGTAGTAGCTACACTGAAGATCCGAGAGATGTCGCCCCTTCAGTGGTAGGAAAATCATTTTTGCAGTATGGAGAATATCAGAAAATCCACAATTTGTGACTAAACATGCTTTCACAGCAGGAAACAAATAAACGAGTGTTTACCTTCTCACCAAAGTAATGTACTCGTACAATTTTTGTGCATCTAAAACTGCCCATAAAGACGATAATGAATAAAAACTGAAAATTTTCATGCATTTCCAAATGGTTTCCTACCATGATGTCAAAAACAACAAAACGTAATTAATTAAATAGAAATACCAAAATTTTACCGAGTAGCTGTTCTGATTTCGGTAGAGTTTGTTGAAATCGGGTATAGTTTCTGAGTATGTTGTTTGTGGATTCCCATTTTGAATTAACCCAGATTAGCACAGGGTAATAGTTGTATTGCTAGGTAACTTTCTTTTGGGATCGTCTTTTCTTCATACAATTCTTAGAAAATGTATGTTTAAGACCAGTTCTAGATTAGTTTGTTATTAATATCTTTACGACTAACCAACGCATACATTCGACAGCCATTACTCGTATTCATCGGACGTGTTCTCTTTCTGCTCTGCTTAACTTGGTGAAATATTGTAGCGAAAATGAGTGTAGTTCGTAAAAACACACTTGTTGTTGACTTCAGTGTCCTTCCAGTTCGTCCCAATGCGGGAAAAGTGCAAAAATTCTTCGAGAACAATATTAAGCTTCAATATTCGGACGTTAGATGCATTCAGTTTCATAACGTCCGAAATTGTGTTTTTATTGAGATGATAGACAATGAAGTTGCCTTGCGCTATGAAAAGACGCACAACTATAAACACGCGATTCTCTGTGCGAAGAGTGAGTTCAAAATCCCGGTATATGTGGATTGTGAAGCAGTGACCGTTCGAGTGCATGATCTTCCTCTGGCATGGCCACAAGCCACTGATATGAACCACATGGCAAAGTACGGGACAGTGATTTCCAGTCGACATGAGAAATGGAAGCACTACTTCCCAGGATTCATGAGCGGTGTTCGAGTTTTGCGAATGTGACTCGAAAGCGCCATTCCATCGTACATCACGGTCGACAACGAAACAACGTTGGTAACGTATGACAAGCAACCAAAAACGTGCCGCCATTGTGGCCGAGCAGCACATCCCAAACAGAAATGTTTGGATGTAGCCACATCGAACAATAGCACCGCTCCAGCAGCTCCACCAACCGAGGGGGTATTCAGTCTCGATGATTTCCCGTCGATTGATATCGAACAAAACCAGCCAACGACATCGGGTCAATCATCTCCTGCTTTCACCGGGTTCTCAGCAGAAGAACAACAGCGATACACCGACAATCAAACCGAGGATCATCACACTTCAAGCAACGACGAAAACTCTAGCACCAGCTCATCAAACGCAACAAAGGATTTCAATGCAAATACCAACAAACGCCGGCTGTCGAAACACAAGGAGAACGAAAAAAAAAGAAAGTTCGTGCTGATCAGTGCACCCAGAAGACTGGTCAGTAAACAGATCGTTTAGATGAAAATAATGCAACTTATCAAATAGGGGATAATAGGTACGTTTTATTTGAAAAATAAAAGCGGGAAGGGATCTCATTGTTAACAATGGTCATCGGCCCAAGCAATGCCTAATAGGTGAGGGGGCCTTATAAATAAACGCAATAAAAAAAAAAACCATCGCATACGACTCACACTTAACTTGTTATATTTCTTTCTTCCTCTCATGTACCAATATTACCTGCCTGAGAACAAATGGGGACACGGCCAGATGTTCAATAGGAGGAAAAATAGCGAGAAAGCATGAGCAAAAAAAGAAAATAAGACATGCATCGGAAAGAGTAAGCAGTTAGAAAGGATCACGCCGGTTGGAGATAGCCAATTTATACTGGACGGAACTGGTAAGTATGATAAGAATTGTAAAAGGTGTGTGCTTGCATGATTTACATATTTAGAATTAGCTATAATCCACATCGAAACCTCATTTCCTTCAATTACTACTCTATCGCAGCACACACCTAATATTGATCACTAACCTTCATATAGTTTCAGCATTATAGACAATATAATCAAAATGTGAGTTGTAAAGTATTATTATCATGCATAGAGATAAGTTAATGTACCAGAACCTGGACGGACACGAGCCTACCCAGGGAAGGACCCGGATACGACCACCCATGTGTGTCTAGAGTATCGCACGAGCTGACGAGTGCAACGGGAAGGACAGTAGGTGTATAGACTAGGGGTTTAGACCTTAGATAAGCCAACTTAGCGGTTGGCACAGCATATACAACAATTACAATTACAATGGTCAGAAACTGATTTAGAATCGATTGAGCAGGTGGAGCAAAATCAGTGGGTATGTTTAGAGCAATATTGGTTAGTTTTTGTGGATAGGCCTGAGGGTTGATATTACATGATTAGGCGTGTGCGCGGCGCGGCGTGTGAGTTGAAGTGACATTGAAGTGATGGTGAAGTAACACCTCACCTCACACGCCGCACGGAATAGGCCTAAATTACATGTTTTTTTTTTCAGTAAAATGAAGGTCAAACCATGGTTTCACCATTCAACTGCTTCCTTACTTCCAGAACTTCCATTTCATCTTAATCTTCAGACAAAACCGAGACCCCAAACAGCATGTCCCTAATTCTGATCACTGGAATGCCGGGTAAGCATCCGTTGTAACCATCTTAAATGTGAAATTTACCCAAACCTGTTGCAGGCGTCGGCAAAACCACCATCGTCCGCAATCTTGGTGCAGAATTACAAAAACGTGTCATTCAGTTCGATGGATTCTACACGGAAGAACTGCGCAGTGCCACCGGAGAACGCTCTGGATTTGACATTATCACCTTCGGTGGCACAAAGGCACCGCTGGCTCGTGTGAGGTACTCCCCCCTAAAAAAAATGTAAACCTAATTGAAAAGCATATAATCGTTCTTGCAGCGATACTGTCAAGAATGCTCCGGCGAGGAATCGTGTCGGCAAGTACACTGTCTGTGTTCCCGAGTTCGAATCCGTGGCCCTACCGACGCTGAGCAACCGCACCACCGCTGCAAGTCTCCTGATATTGGACGAAATCGGTAAAATGGAGCTAAAATCGAAAGCCTTCGAAGATCGATTGGTGCAAATTACCGACAGCGTCGCTCGCGGTGAGCTGTTCTTCGTGGCAACAATTCCCCTCAAGGCAACGCTGAACATTGTGGAACGGTTGAAGAGGATCAAAAATGTACGCTTGTTCCATGTGACCCAGGCGAACCGAAACCAAATCCAGCGGGACATTCTGGAGGCGACCGTTCGGATGCTCGGAAAGCAGTTCTAATTCAGAATTCCTTAAATATATTTTTGTTTTCGGTAATTATAAATAGTCTTGCGTAACGTAGCGTGTAGATTGGTTCATAACAAGCACTAGATCTGCTCGGGACGCTTTTCTACCCATTGCTCATCTTGACGTCGTACTTGCTTTCGGACCGGGAGGACTTTTTCCGCACCCGTTTGGTGGATTTCTCCATTTCGTTAAACTTATCGGCCCGGGCGGTCCAGAAAGCGTTCTGTCTATCACTGATTTCTTGCTCGTTGGCGGAGAAATCTTCGTTTGGTGGCAACATCAAACTCCACGTTCGATCACTGTTTAACTTTGCTACCGAGCTGAGTATCTCGCGGATCTCCTCCGACGGCAGCTGGGTAATGATTGCTAGCTGATGACGTTCCAGCTTGTCACACTGGGTGAACCGGAAAAGAATATAGTCTCGTGCTTTGCACATCTGCTCGGCCGGTACCCCGTTGGTGCTGGAAACGCTTCCCTCCGGATAGATGATCTCCGATTGGACTACCCAGTTGCCTCGGATGAGAACACCTGCCAATGGGAGCGTCCTAAGAACTTTATCCGCCGGAAGGGTCCGATCGGGAAGGAGTTCCATTATCTGTTGGAACGTGAGAACCTTTGCTGTAAAGAGAGTAGTATGAGTTGCTATAATCATCAGCCATTACAAACTCCAAACTCACCGTCCTTAAGAATAACCTTAATCTGATCGACGAGTATCATCTTCTTCAGCTTGTGCATACAGATGACCCGACTTGGCAGCATTGAATCAATATTTCTATCAGTTTTCTCCTTACTAATCAACATATCCAAATACTCCGACGTGCCCACGTTGAGGGCACTATCCGTCCCGACCCTGGAAGTGGTACTGCAGAACAATTTTTGCCTTTCCAGCTCGGCCGTGGTGGAATTCTTGGAGTGCCAAAACGATTCACACCACGGCTCTTCCGATTCCATTTTGGAGATGTAGTTAAACGACTTTTCCCTCGCTTTCCGAACCTTTTCATTTTCAGTCCGCGCAAACTTGACCGTGACCTGTTTCAGTTCCTCCTCGTCGGCATCGGCGTCCTGTTCGGCTTTTTGCTCCGCCTTGGTACGCTTGTCCTGCTTATCGAAGTAGGAAAATACCTGTCGCATAGAAACGATTCCCTGGACCGGAGTTGCGTGAATCTCCCGGTCCTGGAGCACGCATACCATGTACCGATTGACATCTTCGATCGGTTTCGAGCTCAGGAAGGACTGCTTATCCATAGTCCCGCTACGGAAGGTGGGCTTTTGTTGACGATCCTTCTCCTTGCCATCGGCAGCAATGGCAAACTGCTCCCCTTTGAAGGAGTCGTAATTTTTGGAAGCCGTATTCAAAGCGTAATCCACCTTTACCTAACAAATACGCAAAAGACCGATGTAAACAAGTTGCACATGTTTCCGAAACATCTTTCCTTACCTGTTGGTTGATCGGTTTCACGCAGCAGTTCACTACTTGGCCATCGTCGAACGTGGATGCGGATGATTTTACCGGATACTGCAATACGTACAGATTATCTGCCAAGGCTTTCGACAGATAAACAGGAATCTACAACCAATGCACATTCGCCGGAAAAGAAAACAAGAAGTACATTGCTCTAGTATCGATGTTGACCCTCAAATTTACTATTCTAATTACCTCTTCGATTACCGGGTCATCTTCTTCATCCATTGTGTTCGCCAGGTGCTCGACCGTCCGTAGGTTGTAATTAGCTAGAATCTGCTGAACAATAGCAAAAATGGGAAGGCATTTACTTGAATTTTTAAAATATAAAAAAAACGTGAGCGACGATTGCACGCAGGCAAAAATTATTTTAGTTCGCTGAGGGGATGCTGATGATTGACGACGAAGCGACGTTATAATTTTTCAACTGTCAAGTTTTGACAGTTTCCAAACCGATCTAAACTACGCATGCACATTCAGAAGAAAAAATTAAAATAAAATAAACACAATAAAAAGTCGTACTAAACCAAGCTGAACATTGCATTAGGTCCTAATACCTAGAGTCGGTGTATAATGAGTCACGCCAAGAGTGAAGCCAAGTCTACCTATTGAACTGTCAAACCGGCTACCTATCGTGCAAAATAAATAAACATTACGATGCTATGAAAGGTCCACGAAAGGTATTGCAATAAAATATAAAATATAATCGAAGAAATGAGCATAAACACGCAGTGAGCGTTAAATTGTCATGGGATACGCTCGGTAATGATTAGTAATGAGAATTTCTACTATTTTTTGTTACGATAATTTGACAAAATCACTGATATAATGATGTACTACAGCCGCAATATTTTTTCTCTCGCTAGAAGTCATTTGAAGTTGTTGTAGAAGTCCTCTGTTGCCAAGTGAAAAGAATGGGAATCTTCCGAAAACCGTGATGCGAGTTCAACTGTTTTTCTCTTGGCGTGACTCATTATACACCGACTCTACTAATACCAACAATCAATACGAAATTAAAGATTTTAAATTGGCTCACTACTTGACTAGCTTGTTGACTACACAGCAAAAAAAATGTAATATCGATCAACGTAATTCAAGCTGATGTATGAAATAATGATGTAATAGCAAAAAGCAGATACAATATTACATCAATGGATGTAATTTTGTTCGCAAAATCGATGTACACCGTACAATGTGATATAACACAACCGATGGATTGACCTGGTTGCATCAGTTTCGATGTAATATTCAACAACTTTTTTTGCTGTGTAGCCTATTGGTCCCAAGCAAATCGATTAACGTACCTCATTCTACTATAAATTCCAGTACTACACTATGTTTGTTTAGATTCGCTATGAAAGTTTGACAGATAAAATGAGGGGTTCGTGGATTTTCCTATGTTTCAAGGGGTGCATCGATTAGCTTGGGACCAAAGATAGCACCAGAGCTGATCCAAAAAGTTGAGCACGTTTCTTCGGGACCTTCTGGTCTTAGAGTTACCTCTATGCTATGGTTTATTTTTTTTTCTTTTTTAGGCGTATTTATCGACCCGAATTTCGGTAAAATAGTATACATTTGACAGATATAAATGAAGACGAAACCGAAAAGTATGCCCTAATAAAATTGTTATGGTTATTTTGCTTAACGACGTGTTCTGGGTATCTTCCAAACCATTAGTGGAAAAGTTCAATTATTTGGGTTATCGTATGTTTATGGTTATTTTTTATTAGGGCGGTAATGTATCGACATTAACGAATTCGCTACGTGAAAACCGAGAAACTCGGTAAACTGAACCGAATATTTGCTAAAACGTGTTAAACGTCAAACGTTCCACTTGCGCTCAACTTCGCGACGGAAATTTTAACCGAAAACTCGGTTCTCTACGAGGGGGGCGACTCTATCTACGATGCAGAAAAGATTGTGTTTTGCTGTGGCTACCCGCATGAACGATAACCATAAAGAGTGCCTAACAACCTATTCGGGTTATCATATCAACAATATGTGGCACGGTGGCACAATTTGTCGTATCGTTCATGTATGGTGCTCGTTTATTAGGGTAGGTGCACGCACGCTGAGTAGATAGAAGGAAGATTTATGTCGATTTTGAAGATTTCCTGCAAAAAGATGAAGCACGATGCAAGTAGATGCGAGAAATGAAAGATGATTTTTCGAAGATTGATTCGCTAGTATGAGATTTTTTGAGCATCTAGAATTGAGATTTAGATGTGTCGCCCCCCTCGGTTCTCTAAGCTGAGTCTAAAATTAGGCAGCCATTTTTTCTCGCGTGTGCTCGTCGGACGTGTGCAATACTTTAGTAAACATGAAAAAAAAAGTTCTGGAGCAGGCTGCACGTTTGATTGAAAGCTTTTGTAAGTGTTTGAAACTAACGGTATTAAATTTATTTTCAGGCATCTTGCGCTATAGTTTGTTTCTCCTGCCATGAAAATATAAAAGGTTATGTCTCTGGCTTGCAAAGGCATTTTAAAAACCATTTGAATAAGAATGACTTCAAACTCAGTGATATTTTTTTGACTGTACTTTTCCACGCTGTAAAGGCCCAAGCGCAATGACAGTGGAAGCGGAACGGCAACGGCAGCGGAAAAGCCTGATCTGAATAAGCCTACTTGTCGGATTGAAAACTTGTTGGAACCTGTTGGAACCAAATCGACTTCGGTTAGGCATCTTAAATGCATTTGTGACAACTGTCAAACTTTCCGTTTCCGTTCCGCTCCCGTCCACATTGCGTTTGGGCCTTAACTCACGTTACGGAAGTGTTTATTCGCCAAAACAAATTAAATAAATATATTTCATAAACTTCTTTGACAAAAGATGTTTTAATTTTTGTGAAAATTCGAAGCAACGTATCCTTAATCAAAATTTAAAGCAGGATTTGAAGTGAAAACCGAGCGATGCCCAAGAGAACCGAATTCCGTAATTACAACAGGTGGGTCGGTTTGTTTGACAGCGTTCGGTAATTCTTGAGTAAACCGATGTTCGGTTATTTCTGCTCTTAAAAATTAACGACAGCTCGATTATTCCTCTTTGAACCGAACAGACTACCGAGCGTTCAGCAGATAACTCGGTTGAAATCAAACCGAATTCGATAATATTTTCTAAGTGTATAAACACGACCCATCTAATAAATTTTGTACTTTGTATTTTTTCGTATTTATGTTTTTTAAGTTTATTATTTATTTACGTATTTATTGTATTTTAGTTTCAACGTGTTCTGTTTATGTGAGAACACATGAAAATCATGTGAAATTTTACATAATATTCGCCAATAAAAATGTGTTGAATTTCATGAGTGTACACAGAAAAAAAAAAGTTCTTGAATATTACATCCAAACTGCTGCAACCAGGTCAATCCATCGGTTGTGTAATATAACGTTGTACGATGTACATCGATTTTGCGAACAAAATTACATCCATTGATGTAATATTATACCTGCTTTTTGCTATTACATAATTATTTCATACATCACCCGGAGAAAAAATACTACCCATAATTTGAGTTCTTCTTACTTAATATTGACTTCAGCCTCTCAGTTGCACTCGTTATTGTTGTCAAAAAAGGAACGAGAGATTCGATCCAACGATATAGTTCAGCCACAGACAAACAGACATAACACTCGCAAGTTGTTCATCGAACAAGCATTTAACGGACAATTTAAAAGTATCGTAGTTGGCAGTACCACCAGCTGTGGCGCGCATAGTCAATTCCCTTGCGTTTGACGTTTACACACTACCGCCATCTGTTACGCCGTACTGCCCACCACAGTGTGCTCAACAGATGGCGGTAATGTTTTAGCGACGATGTTTTACAGTGAGAAATATTCAATATGTTATGTCTGTTTGTCTGTGGTTCAGCCCAATAAGTTACTTATGAGTAAATTGCATATTCTCAAATTTACGTGAATCACGCAGAAAAATTTATCGTTGAAACAAAAATATTTGAGGTAAATTTAAACGTAAACTCAGTTTGTTCTGGCCACAAAAATAAACAAGGTTTATTTCAAACGTATTCCATGTTTGAAGTCATGTAATATTAATGTTTAAAATAAAAATAATTTTACGTTTATTTTTAAAATATTCGTGTTGAAAATAAACGTGAATATTTTTGTTTGGTTTGACAACAATGCGAACAAAAATAAATATGTTTATTTTAAACATGCTTCTTATGTTTGAAAGAAACATACTTAATTTTAAATTATATTAGCATTTGAATGTAAGATAAAGCAGAAAAATGGATTGCCAAGAGATGAAAAAACGATCTGCAGGAAGATCCCGAATTCAGTTTGATTACAATGCTCGTGGCAATGTAGGATTGGAAATGCAGGAATCGGAAGAAGATGAGGATGATGAGAAACCGTTGAGTTAGGTAAGGAAGGAGGATGAATGCAGCACTGATTTTAGTAAGAAGTTGATCCAACCAATTAATCAGTCGAGTCAGGATTGTGTGAATATGATAAAGCTTGCTGAAGTTTCGAAGCTAATGGAAAATGAGTGGATGAAGTTGGAGCAATTACGGAAAGAGCAAGAACACAAGGCAGGTGTAAATGAGAAGCATGTTTCGGATCAAAGACAAAAGCTCGAAGCAAACTGGAAGAAATGACTTTTGAAGGGGGGGGGGGAGGTGCTGGAGGTTCCGGAATAGATTCAAAATCCATTTCGGATTTTCGTTTCCCTTTGTTAAGATACTTACCTAAGTGGGTTTCCGCATCCATGACTTCGGTTTTGTTGCGGGCCGTTTTCATTGATTGGCAAAGCTGGGGCAATTTTTTTCCGAATGTCAACAAGAAGGAAAAAATGCAGGGCACGCTAAAAATCGTTTACCCAAATTCTATATTGTTGAAATAAACATGCTTCTGACTTTGATTCAAACATATATATTTTTGTTGCAAACATGGTTTTAATTTATTTTGAATTATTCATATGTTTATAGAATGAACATTTTTATTTTTGATTTATATGAACAAAATTCGGTTCCGTGATTAAACTTAATTTTGGGTAGAATATACTTAAGAGTAGGTAATTGTTTTTGCTGGTGTTATATAGAAACTACTATATGCGATTTACACAAATTTGGGTTATTGGGCTGAACCCCAGAATTGAGGGAAAAGTACTTAATTTTGGGTAATTTTTCATCTCCGTGCAGCTTGAATTACGTTGCACGCTAACTTCAGCTTACTCACCAGGTGAGTCGATCGTACTCACTTTCGTCCGATGTATCGAGTTGTCAAAAACTGAGTAAACGAGAAATGTCAAACTGAGTAAAAGTCACTCAGTCAGCAAAATCCTGGACTTAGAAAAAATGTCAACCATGTTGGAGGAAACTTCCTAGGAAAAGTTACTCAAAACCGGCTGAAATGCCTTCAGGTAAGAAAGAATTGCTCATGGAAACTGTGTTGAAGCATTTTCTGCTCCGGTAGAATGAATCCGGAGCAGGAAATTTAAATTTCCTTAAATAAAAATCAAAACAAAAACACTCCCCGCAACTGAAAATATCGCTGAGTGGATTTGACTCAGTCTACGTGAGAACGTAGTTTAAACGCTGTCCAGACTGGAGAGTTATAACATGTTATAACGGTTGTCAAATAATTGCAACACAGAAACCACCATCAAGATAGCGCTATAACATGTTATAACTCTGTAGTCTGAACGTACTATTACTCAAAAGTGAGTCAACATAAGGCTACTCAATTTTAAGTAGCCCTACTTGCCGCTGAGATGAGTACATTCGACTCAATTTTGAGTTGACCAGAATAAGCGTGTGATCGATATTACATTTTTTTTTGCTGTGTAGGGCTTCCCTAATAAAAAAATAACCATAAACGAACGATAACCCAAATCATTGAACTATTCCACAAATGGTTTGGATGATACCCAGAACACGTCGTTAAGCAAATTAACCATACAATTTTTATTAGGGTTACAACGTTTTGTTTACAAAAGTTGATAGGCCCCTTACAATTAATGGTTGAGAGTTATTCAATTTTGTTCCTTATTTTTCTGTGTGCAATTCGTTTGAAAGTGATCTAAAAGCTTTTATGATTTTTTTTTTGAGAGCTCACAACATGTCAAAATTTATAAACAATCATTTCAGTGCCAACATTTCAAAGGGGCGTAATTGCTTTTGTAAACATTGGCTTTAGCCGTCGATTTCTCGCCAATAAAAGCGCACTCCTCCAAATTAACTATGCAAGCTGGTAGAAGAAATATTCCTCTAGCTGTTGGTGCCATTAATTTTCAAAAGTGAGCTATTATTCGTGAGAAATCGACGGCTAAAGCCATTGTTTACAAATGAATTACGCCCCTATGAAATGTTGGCGCTGAATTTTAACAAATTAATCGCTAATATTATTAATCGACATGTTGATTCTAAACCAGAGGGTCCAATAAGTGCAACTGTAAGCATGGGTCAAAAATCCCGCAAGCCGTGGCGAAAGAATCTGTACGAAAATTCCGACTACGAAGACAACTATACCGATCCCAGTTTCCTGCAGGAGCTGAAGACGAACCAGAATCTGCAGACATACACAATCTACGAAGTATTCCTGGGAGCATCCCGCCTGAGCCAACAGATCTCCATCGTCACTACATTCCTCATCATATTCCACTACCTGTACACGGATGGCGTCAGTCCCCAGAATATCCTGCTGAAGGCTCTCGGCGGCACCCTTCTGGGCTATATAATTTACACGGGAAGAAATCTTCGGCTGAGCCATGTCATTGAAGATTCCAAGACTGCCGTTGCAGTACTCGTATTTGGCTACATATTTTCCCCGCTGCTGCACACCCTGTCGGACAGTGTCAGTACCGATACCATCTTTTCGATGACCTTCTTCGTGTTGGTGCTGCATCTCATTTTCTTCGACTACGGAGTATCGGCTGCGATCGTGTCGAAAGCCATCTCGCTAAATGCGGCCATTTTCGGTGCCATCTGCTTGGCTTCCCGCTTGTCGTCGTCGTTCCATGCCTTTGTGCTGCTGGAAGTTGCGGCAGTTTACTTTGCACTGGGACCGATTCTGCTGGCGAAGATCTTCAGCTTACCGCTGCTGGTGGGAACGATTGCCATTTGCTTCTACTTTCTGTTCAGCGTTTCGATGACCATCTTCTGGACCTACAGCTGCGTGCTGGTGTTCATCAATCTGTTTTGTCCGTGGTTGTTCATGCGATTGCAGCGACACAAAAACAATATCCACGGCCCATGGGACGAAGCCATCGTAGGGGATTTCAAGGAGGATAGTAGCGTTAGTAGTATTTAATGATTGGCATTTTTGAGAAGATTTACTCTAGTCACTAGTTTGTTAAATGAAAGAAGGGAATTTCGGATTGAATAAATTACTCGTATTCATTCTTATACATTGTATTACTTGCTTGATTCGAATTTCAGTATACCAAAAGGTACATTCCTGCTTTGCTCGTGTTATTTTAAACCGATTCTTGCCTGTACGCGCACGAAAGCGATCTATTGAACAAATCCGTTCCAAAAGATGCCATTTCTCACAAATAGCACTATCGTGCCAATGACAAAGCTCTGCAGGCAACAAATTTCCAATCTTTACGGTGTTCTCAAATGGTTTTCTGATCAGTACATAGGTATTTGGCTCTTTGTCAATCAATTGTTTTATTATTCTGTAAAAAAAAAAACAAATGATTGTTTTCACTGCTCGAGAACAGATGCAGTAAGAAATTCCTCTCTAATTTGAGCAATGAACCTATATGTGTTTGCTATTTCCTATTATTTAGTTAGAATAAGCATTCTGAGTTTCGTTTCTATCAAAAATTAGAATTGTGTGATTTTTCACATTCAGTTTTGCTTTCACTCGTGGGTCAAGGTCAAAAAACGTGGAACAAATCTATCATATTAGTTGTATTTTGCTTGTTACTTTACTGTGACTTGCAATACATTCAACATATTTGTAGCACTTATTACACGTATGGCAATTTGTTTGTTTTGTTTCAATGTTTGGCTTCTGTTCTCGCACAAGTCACCAGGTTCATAAATTTCGTTCTATTGTTTGCGTTAGTTTTATATATAATTTGCACTAAGATTGATTAAAATCGGTACATACACTGTTGTGAATGCGATAAATTAGCAATAATTGAAGAACGTTCTCGAATCACCCAAGACGATGCAAAGAAGTAAAATTTCAAAGTCAAATATAAACAGCTGTTCTGTTTCATCATCCCTTCGCTTAGTCAGGTTCAATGAACACGAGAGCAACGAAAATGACACAATATTATAGGTCAATTCTATGTAATAAGAGAACGCATATGCGGTACACTCTCGTTTGCTCAGTAGGATGTACCCAACGGGTGCATGCAGCATAAAACAGGCAATAAACTCAGCATAGGGAAATTATACGCTTTCACCAGTTTAGCTTTGGTATAGGCGCTGCGTAGGAGTCAAGTGCATCCTAGACGTATGCATACATGTGAGATTATTCTGGAAGGATTGCGTTGGTCCCAAAATGCATCACATGATCTTGAAGGAGAACGATGGATAAGTTTAGATCAGGAATACTTTTTGTCTCTTTCATTCTTATCAACATTACGTTAGGAAGATCTTAGCAGGAGACAAATCTTTCTAGGCTTAAACCCCTATATAAGGCAAATTTTCAACTTAATAAACTGAATGTTTTCGTTAGTCTTAAAACGTCTGTCGATCTGTTAAGATCCGAATTCCTTCCAGCCAGTACCTTCATCAGGTTTTAAACTAAGATTACTGATGAGACCAGAATCTCTAATTTAGTGAGAAGTTCAGTCCTCAGTTACAATCAAAGTCCAAACACCTGATGCTAAAGGCACTCCTTTTCTTTCTATCAAAATCTGAACCACGCTATTGTAACAGTCTCTTAATTTAGTAGAGTAACTGTCTTAGCGTCTTGAACAGTTCTTTGATAGAATCGAGAAAAAATAGGCACTCGCTCCAGCAGTCCCGGCAGGGCAACGGTGTACCATCCAAACCGTTCGGCGTGGTAAGTAAACCTTCGCGTGATTAAACAAGCTCGGGACAGCTTGTTTTAACTCCTCTGCCAGGTTTCCAGTGCGCGCGCTACCATATGCGAGACGCATTACGAATATTCTCATAATCATAGCAGTCTCATGCGCAAGAGATTTGTAGCACTCTGTTTCTCTCTCTTCAGTTTTGTCGCATCTCACATTCTCATAATGTCTGTGTGTCGCACTGTTTTGTAAGCACAGCACATTTCCGGATGTATGCGTTTCATGAGAACGAGTATCATGCGACGTCGCGTGAGCCGAAGCTCATGCGCTTTTCGCAATGAGACGTCGCTAAGCGACGTTTCAATGCGACATCGAAATAACAAACTCAACTGGAAGACCAACTCGTGTTCTTGATGTTGGGAAAGTGTTGTTTTGTTTTGGAAACGATGGAAAGCGACCTAGCTACTACACTCTTATCGAACATGGAGAAGAGGTGTCGGATGGTTATGACCAACAAAGTTTTCCTAGCGGCAATTTTCGTTGATTAAAGGATTAACTTGAAAAATAGCCCATTCATAACGAACGAAAATAGAGATGTGGCTTTGGTAAGCGAAATGTACAATCAAGTTGTGGTTTATTTGCTCGTTAATATGCTTTTTTTTTAATTTCACCGAGAGTCCACGGTACTAACACTAGGACTATTTAGAAATCTGTCGTCGCAAATTGATTGTTTCAATTCAGCATCATGGTGGCTGATATGAACTATCCTGTGAGCGCTAACACGTCTGAAGAATTCAGTTGCTGCCGTTATTAGTTTTGTTGATTTACAGGTATTCAATACAATTTCTGAAGCAAGAAGCTTAGCAACAATCCGTAATACAGATATGACACAAATTGTTCCTAAATTTATTACTTTAACCTTAATCCAGCATTTCGTACCTACGTACACTGTGGTGCAAAGTTGATAGGACAAAGGTCGTTTTCATACAAACTAGCCAAGTTTAACATGTTATAAATGTGTTCTGTTATGATCAATTGGGCTGAAATTTTGACGCAAAACTACAAATATGTTGAATTTCACGTGTAAGAAATACCGAATTTTTAGAAGCACTTGCTGGAAGGTGACAATAAAAATAAAATTTGTGCATAGCTGATCGGACAAAGGTCAATGGAAAAGCAAGTTTTGTGTCAAAAATTTCAACTCAATTGATCTGACAGAACACATTTACAACATGTTAAACTTGGTTAATTTTTAAGTGCAGACTTGTGTGTATGCAATGAGAAGTCACCACCAACGTTTTTGCAGCAAAGTACACTTCTGCGTTGAAAATAATCCCTTAAAATAGTGTTCACTCAAGCCAGACAAATAAAAATATTAATCTTCAGAGTTTTATCATTACTAGCGTGTTGATATGATCGGTCAAGTCAGACCGAAATGTGAATTTTTTATTTGATTTTGAGAAAAACGAGTTTAAAGTTGGCTGTTGAATATTGTGTCTTATGTAATGGGAAAAATCATATGACCGTTTTCTCGTGCTACTCTATTTTTTTCAAATCTGGCTGAAAAATTGAAATGTAGCTGAGGGAATTCTTGATCTTATGATATCATTGACTCATTTTTTGTTCTTTTATTTTGCTACTTAGTCGCTTCTGACTTAAGGCCGACCATATCAGGCATAACATATGATAACGGCACAAAAGCATTTGTAAACAAACTTTCTAAGGTCCTTTACATGCGATCCAAAGTACGCCCACGCAAACCAATGCCACTTTCGGAAAGGTGATAGTTGCCCCTATTCGACGATGTTGTTGGTTCGCGTGTAAAGGGCCTTAGAAAGTTTGTTTACAAATGCTTTTGTGCCGTTATAAAATGTTATGCCTGATATGATCTTGTATAGTATAGTGCTGTTTTACATTCAAAATCGTCCATTTATATTTTTACTGGTCTGAGTAAAAGTATTCTGAGTTAAATTTGGTGCAAATGCTCAATAACTTGTTTATTTTTCCACCAAATGGGCTGAAAGCTTCAGAGGCTTCCAAAAAATGTATTTTAGAAGATTTCCGCATAAGGACTTGTTGAAGGACACTTAGTTCCACAGATATTCCGGTATTATTTGAGTGCTAACATGCTAACGGTATCCCAACTACCGTAAGGTTGCCATCCACCGCTCACGTAGCCTTCCTTTACCTTCCTTTAGCATCCTTTCGACAAGCCATTGCGTCTTCCTAGGATCATGAGTGATGATCTTACGGTGATTCCAGTATATCTCTGGAACCATGTGTTGAGTCTGCTTGAATCTATACTAGAAGATATTTCTGGAACCATCTAAAAACTTCACCCCATTTCAAAAGATACATACGAAAAGGGCACACAAGTCTTCATTGAACAAACCCTTGCAGTCCCTTATCTCGTCACCCGACAACATCACTTATGATGGGACCGCGAGAGTCAAAGCATGCGAAACAGCGCACGGCGATGGCGCCCTGAGAGAGCGCATTGAGATGTTTCAATGAAACAGTCGCATGTGATTGAATACATGCGTCGCATTGAGAGAGCAATGTGATGAGACAAACAAAAATTGAAACGCTCGAATTTGTTGAGAGCGTGTAGCTTGTCGCGCGCATCGTTCTGGTCTCTCTTTTGTACAATAATGTAGCACACCATGGATTTGAGAGTCATGCGACGCTCCGTCTCACAGCTCGCTGTCGCATTTGTGTACGCGTGAGATTTCCGGAAGCCTGTCCTCTGCCATCCGTGCCGAACATTGGTGGCTCCAGAGAGGAAAAATCCTCACAATCATAAGTGGATGGTGTGCTCGACGCCAAAAGAGCGAGCTGTAAAGTGTACGGTGTAAGTTAGCATCGTTGTAAGTGCGCGACGCGGTTAAAACTACGAGCAGAAGAGTTCGTTAAGAGGTTCTAATCGTAAAACCACAATTAACAAAATAAGTGTAGTCGTGTGCTGAAATCTCACGAAGCAATCGTGAGGGTGTGCTCGTTACCGAAAAGAGCAATATAGAGCCGGAGAAAAATTGTGTGCTTGTTAGAAAATAAAACGGCGAGTTACACGGGCAGTGAAAATTGCGTTAGAGCCGGAGAAGAGCATGCTTACCTCGAAGTAGGAAGCAAGCAGAACAATTATAACAGTGAATATAAGTGATCTTCAGAGACAAGAGGAAAACAACCACAATCCGTGGTTGACAGGTAACACCTTATTTAGCGGAATAAACCGTAAGTAATACCTCTTATACATATATATCCAGTGAACTAGTGCAGTTAAAAAAAAAAAAAAAGATTTTACAAATGCTTGATTTGTTTGAAGAAATTAATTGTCTAGCCGAACGTTTTCGTGAAATCGATCGACGACTAGAAATTGCCAAAA